GGTAGACTCACACTTAACCATAGACACAAAATCACTAGTTTGACTCAAAACAAATCACTGAATTAGCATATGTTTATTTCATTTATTGTATAATGGTTGGATTAGACCCTGACTAATGTTTATTGTGAAAAGTCTTTTATACATTTTCAGTACTCGTCACTGACCGAGCCCATCAAGGCACATTATAAACATCTATAACTATATATATTTCAAGTGACTCCGTGATCTAATGCAGCAAGGTTCATTTTGAAATATATATACATTGTATGTATTTCAAGTGACTCCGTGACCTATTGCAGTCAGTTTTAAGTTGAAGTCTTCATTAACCACATACCATATTTAGGCTTCATGGCCATGGGTTTTGTGACCAATCACATTAGATTAGCACGGCATTGAAAATCACAAAATTGATTTCCATATGACTTAGTATTACTGCCTAGTGAAGAGACAAAGAGACACATGGTCTAGTGAGGTCACATGATCTTATCCCAGGATGTATTTCTATTCAATTAGTTGGTTTACAAATACAAGATAAAAGAAATTAACTTGTTCATGCTGACAGACACTGACACAAATATTTTCCACTACATCTGTCAGGAGGAAGTTAATTAGTTCTGACCAGATTTCAGTCTGATGAATATTTGTTTTAATTTACTCATTTCTAATTGAATTTATTATTAGAAAATGTTAAATATTTAATTTTGATTCCAATGATTTGATGTTAATTTTGTGTTTTGGTCTTTCTTTTATTAGCCCACCATCTATTCAAATAGATGGTGGGTTATTCAAATCACCCTGCGTCCGTGGTCCGTCGTCCGTCCGTAAACAATTCTTGTTACCGCTATTTCTGGAAAAGTACTGGATGGATCTTTCTCAAATTCCATATGCAGTTTCCCCTTGGTCCCTAGTTGTGCATTGTACCTTTTTTGGACAGATTCGAATTCAAGATGGCGGACAGGTGGCCATCTTGGATTTTGGATGTAAAAGTTTGTTACCGCTATTTCTTGGAAAGTACTGGATGGATCTTTCTCAAATTTCATATGCAGTTTCCCCTTGGTCCCTAGTTGTGCATTGTACCTTTTTTGGACTGATTCGAATTCAAGATGGCAGACAGGTGGCCATCTTGGATTTTGAATGTAAAAGTTTGTTACTGCTATTTCTTGGAAAGAACTGGATGGATCTTTCTCAAATTTCATATGCAGGTTCCCCTTGGTCACTAGTTGTGCATTGTACCTTTTTTGGACTGATTCGAATTCAAGATGGCAGACAGGTGGCCATCTTGGATTTTGAATGTAAAAGTTTGTTACTGCTATTTCTTGGAAAGAACTGGATGGATCTTTCTCAAATTTCATATGCAGGTTCCCTTTACTTCCAAGTTGTGCATTATACCTTTTTGGACTGATCCGAAATCAAGATGGCTAACAGGCAGCCATCTTGGATTTTGAGAGTAAAATCTTGTTACTGCTATATCTGAGGAAGTCCAGGATGGATCCTTCTGATATTTCATAGATATTGGTTTCCCTTGGTCCCTAGTTGTGCATTGTACCTTTTTTGGACTGATTTGAAATCAAGGTGGCCCACAGGCAGCCATCTTGGATGTCGACAGTAATACAGCACAAGCATATTGTCCATTATCCACCTGTAACTGACTGCTATCTAATAATACTTTGGGATCTTTTTCAAATGATATTTGCTGATAGGTGCTTAACAAAAATATCTTGTACCATCATTGAGTACATTCAATGAAGACCAGTTCATGAACATTTACAACACCTGTAACAAACAAACAAAAATCTTCAAGAACTGAAAACAGATCCTCAAATGGTGGGTGCCAAGATCCCTCTGGGATCTCTTGTTTCCAAATCCTTTTTGATAGAAAAGAATCACTGACTACCATTTTGTATAGTTTGGTAAGATTTAGGTAAACAGATAAACCTCCTTGTACTGTCAGCAAAGACTTGGCTGGTGTTACTTTATCATAGACAAGTGGTATTTTAGATTTATTACTTAAGTCTCCACTGGTGAAACCATGGGGGGTGGGTGGGGGAGTAAAGTTTTTTGTCCATTCATCCCTTCATTTGTGAAATCATGGGGGGAGTCTTGTTTTCTGTCCATCCATCCATCCCTTATCTGTAAAAATATGTGAATTTTATGGTTTCGTTTTTTTGTTGGATTCTCAGCAAACTTTTCAAACTTACCTTGGACAAGTTTAAATTTCAATTAGCTGATGTTTGTTTGTACTTTATTGAATGGCTTAAAAATATTTATTAAAAAATATGATGTTTTCAATATGGAACTCTGGATTGACTGAAAAAATAGGAATAATTTAATATTATGCTCTTATGTCAAATATTTATTTTTAAGAAAAAAACATCAAAAAGAGAAATATCTTAACAGATGTTCTGGTCCTATGTTGATAAGGAAATCAATATCATTGGCCACTCAGCATCATGTTAAAATCACAAGTCATTTTAGACATGATCCTGGTAACATTAGACTCATTCATTAAAATTCTTCAATCAGCTCCAAGTCTGACTCACACAAACGTTTAATTAGCTTTGTCTCCATGGTGATATTTACATTGATGGAAATACAAAATAAGGTGGTGCGTAAATGACAAATATATGTATGTTATCAATAAAGGTTAGAGTTTTTTGTCAAAATCACTTCTGAAAAATGAAAGATCTTAATTTTTTTTTTAAATAATAAATATATTTAGTGAATAGAAAAAGTATCATAAAAAAGGGTTTATTGAAAATTTGACACATAAATAGATGATGACAAGTGGGTGTGGTTAGGTTGAAAGGCAAGCTCCTAGTGTGTAGAAACAAAAATACTTCTAAGCTCCCAGGTTTAAGGAAAAGTTAAAAATCTGGTGTGTGGTAGGGTGACACACAAGCTCCTAGGGTGTGGTAGGGTGACACACAAGCTCCTAGTGTGTGGTAGAGTGACACACAAGCTCCTAGGGTGTATTAGGGTGACACACAAGCTCCTAGGGTGTGGTAGAGTGACACACAAGCTCCTAAGGTGTGGTAGAGTGACACACAATCTCCTAAGGTGTGGTAGAGTGACACACAAGCTCCTAGGGTGTGGTTATGGTAAAACACAAAGTCCTAGTGTGTGGTAGAGTGACACACAAGCTCCTGGGGTGCGGTAAAGTGACACACAAAGTCCTAGTGTGTGGTAGAGTGACACACAAGCTCCTGGGGTGCGGTAAAGTGACACACAAGGTCCTAGTGTGTGGTAGAGTGACACACAAGCTCCTAGGGTGTGGTAAAGTGACACACAAGCTCCTAGGTTGTGGTAGAGTGACACACAAACTCGTAGGGTGTGGTTTGGTTTCTTATATCACAAGTCAGTTTAGGTATTCCCACCCTAATGGACCACTTCTGGTTATAATCCCGACGAATGTCGATGTTTTATAGATCGTGAAGTTTCGGAAGTCAAAGAGTTGACGTTCATGCCCTTAATTTCAGGGCAGAAAAGGCAAAAAATATGCCTTCCTTACATCCTTTAATATCACAAGGCATTTTAAAACATGCTACTGCTGAAAATATTGCAGGCTCTGGCTTTAAACTTCCCACATCTAAAAAAAAATATTCAAAAGGGATAGTGAAGATGGTCTGAGAGCAATATTTGTGCAAAAGAACTGTAATGGACAGCCGCGGATCTCTTCTGCAAAGCGTGTTCTGGATTCTGTAATTATAAAGCTTGTTGAACTGTTTCAAAAGTAGGATAAAAAGGAGCTTTTTATATAGCTGTAACTGTAACACTTTTTTTGTGCAAAAAGGACTTGATTTCTTACTCGTTTTTGTTACATAATGAATTATGTGGTCATAATCTGGGTCAAGGTCAGAGGTCAAGGTAAGAAAATATCAGAAATAGTTAATTTTTATTACTATTCTACTTGTAGCCTTCAAAGAGTTTAGTATCTATAGTCTGTTAGGCCATGATGCTATTGTAAGCAATTTTTCTGAAATCTAATGAGTCATCGAAATTAAGGGGATAGGGGTATTAAATCTTAAAAATATCTAATTATATGTGGTAAAAGTTTCTAAAAGTTATTTGAAAATTTGCAGAAGGTGTGCCAGCAAGTATTTAAACAGATTTTTCATTTGAAAACTCTCTTGTCACACTCAGTTTACCTTACAAAGTGTCTTTGTCACTTTTCTAAGAGTGACAGCGAGGGTACCGATATAACACTTTTTCACATATCGTACATTGTATATGAATGTGATCTGAATAGCAGCTATTTTATTATTCATTGCTGTTATTATGGTATGTAAAAACACATGTTTTTGTTTGAAATTAAGTTTTTTATTGGGCATACACTAAATATTTTTTTTGTATCCAACCAGCATGCTATGTGACACCATTGAAGTACTTAAATTTTTGTTAGATGAAAAAAAACCTGTGGATAAATATGATCAGTAATGGAGTATACATTGTGATCTTTATAAATTAGGTGAAAATTTTTATTTTTGGTTTTGTCCCTAGTAAAAGGCTTTAAAGGCTGAATACCTTAACATAAAACAAAACATTTGAGACAGTTACAGATGATGAAGTGTTGATTTGTAGGAGGAAGATGCAGGTTTGTCAGAGGCTCTTTACTCCATTAGCTTTGAAATGTTGAATTTAAGTCACGTTCATTATGTCAATATTCTGCATAATAAACCTTTCTTAAAATTTGATTTATTACAAAAGTCAGCTGTTTATGTTTGCAGATGAAGATATTGTCGTATTTTTATAGAAATATTACCTTGAGTGATAAATTTTATTAAGTGAACAAATAATATGTATTTCATATGCTCAGACATTTTTGTCAGCAGTTTGCTTTAACTTTTTGTAAGTGATGGAGATGAATGTCTTTATTTTCTAAATAATGACATTGAATTGAGGTGAAACAGAAAGGTAAAAGCAAGCACACTGGTATTAGGATTGATATCTTCTAGGGTTAAGATTATGTCATATTTCAAATAAAGAAAATTCTATATTTTCAGACGAACCCAAAATTAAGTGAACCACAAAGGTCCTTTTCTCAGATGAAGAATTATTTTGAGAAAGAAATGCAAGAGACGACAACCGCCAATCAGCCTCCTTGTAAGTAGAGAAACCTCAAGAAACAGTTGATTGTGTTGGTCCAAACACCGGGGGAAAGTAGTTGATTGTGTTGGTCGCAGTACTGTAAGGAAAGTAGTACAATGTGTTGGTCCCAGTACTGTAGGGAAAGTAGTTGATTGTGTTGGTCCCAGTACTGTAGGGAAAGTAGTACAATGTGTTGTTCCCAGTACTGTAGGGAAAGTAGTTGGTTGTGTTGGTCCCAGTACTGTAGGGAAAGTAGTTGGTTGTGTTGGTCCCAGTACTGTAGGGAAAGTAGTTGGTTGTGTTGGTCCCAGTACTGTAGGGAAAGTAGTTGGTTGTGTTGGTCCCAGTACTGTAGGGAAAGTAGTTGATTGTGTTGGTCCCAGTACCAGAGGGAAAGTAGTACATTGTGTTGGTCCCAGTACTGAAGGGAAAGTAGTTGATTGTGTTGGTCCAAACACCGGGGGAAAGTAGTTGATTGTGTTGGTCCCAGTACTGTAGGGAAAGTAGTTGATTGTGTTGGTCCCAGTACTGTAGGGAAAGTAGATCATTGTGTTGGTCCCAGTACTGTAGGGAAAGTAGTTGATTGTGTTGGTCCCAGTACTTTAGGGAAAGTAGTTGGTTGTGTTGGTCCCAGTACTGTAGGGAAAGTAGATCATTGTGTTGGTCCCAGTACTGTAGGGAAAGTAGTTGATTGTGTTGGTCCCAGTACTGTAGGGAAAGTAGTTGGTTGTGTTGGTCCCAGTACTGTAGGGAAAGTAGTACATTGTGTTGGTCCCAGTACTGTAGGGAAAGTAGTACATTGTGTTGGTCCCAGTACTGTAGGGAAAGTAGTTGATTGTGTTGGTCCCAGTACTAGTACATTGTGTTGAAAGTAGTTGATTGTGTTGGTCCCAGTACTGTAGGGAAAGTAGTTGATTGTGTTGGTCCCAGTACTGTAGGGAAAGTAGATCATTGTGTTGGTCCCAGTACTGTAGGGAAAGTAGTTGATTGTGTTGGTCCCAGTACTGTAGGGAAAGTAGTTGGTTGTGTTGGTCCCAGTACTGTAGGGAAAGTAGATCATTGTGTTGGTCCCAGTACTGTAGGGAACGTAGTTGATTGTGTTGGTCCCAGTACTGTAGGGAAAGTAGTACATTGTGTTGGTCCCAGTACTGTAGGGAAAGTAGTTGATTGTGTTGGTCCCAGTAATGCAGGGAAAGTAGTACATTGTGTTGGTCCCAGTACTGTAGGGAAAGTAGTTGGTTGTGTTGGTCCCAGTACTGTAGGGAAAGTAGTTGGTTGTGTTGGTCCCAGTACTGTAGGGAAAGTAGTTGATTGTGTTGGTCCCAGTACTGTAGGGAAAGTAGTTGATTGTGTTGGTCCCAGTACTGTAGGGAAAGTAGTACATTGTAATGGTCCCAGTACTGTAGGGAAAGTAGTTGATTGTGTTGGTCCCAGTACTGTAGGGAAAGTAGTACATTGTGTTGGTCCCAGTACCAGAGGGAAAGTAGTTGGTTGTGTTGGTCCCAGTACCAGAGGGAAATAGATCGACTATTGACTGAGGTTAGTGGCATGAAATAACTGTTGTTATCTGTATTATTAAAAATAACCAGATTAACAATCGAAAATACTGAATTTATGTTCACATGGAGAGTTAGTTAACATTTACCCATTTGTCTCAGCCTACGTGTAATTGTCAAATTCTGCACAGTTTTAAAAAGTTTGACTTTATAATAGTCTCTTAACTAGTGTTTCTATCAATTTTTTTTTTTTTTTCTTTTTTAACAATCGTGACTACCGTAAATTTTCGCCTATAGTGCGCACTTTTTCAAGCTAAAACTGTCCTGTCAAAAGGGGGGTGCGCATTATACGCAGGAACATGCCATTCTTGGGGTTATCATTCCCGAGTTCTGTGTCCACCATATTGGATTGCCTCCCTTCACATAGTTGCATGTAAAATTGTTGGTCTTACATGATGGTTTGGAGATAAAAACAACAAAAAAATAAAATAAAATCAATTTCAAATGTTTTAATCATCGGCCATTCACGCTAGCATGACGGTGAATCTAATTTTTTTTTTTTTTTTTTTATCGTTTCCCGTCGTTCGGTTGGTCAGGGCTATAGTATATAGTAGTGTCTGAATTTCTGCCTCATTTTGATGATGTATCTGTGGAATTCAATGTGTCCGGAAGTTTTTGGGCGATTGTCGTTCTGTTCATAAATTGGACAGCCCATCCCACCGATCCCAAAGTCGGTGACCCCATGACCTCTCTTGATCTGCATGGCCCACACGCGCAGTTCTGTTGTACTGGCAGCGATGCCGACATCTGGGCGATCGCATACAAAGTTGAACAGCTCTTTCTCCATTTCTGGGTGTTTCGCTGTCGCACCTATGTCAGCCCTTCTGGTTAGTGGTTGGGACTTTAGACGGTCTTTTTTTTCTTCCGTGCCTTGATATTTCACTCTGAAATGTCGAAGTGGCGACCGGCGGCACGAAACTCAAGTCTCTCGGCGTAGTCAAATGGCATTCGCAGTTTCCCCATGTCGAAGTCGGTGTAAACAATCTATAATTAAGTACCTTTGGATAGCGCGGTAGGTACAGATATGGGGACAAGGTATGATTGAAACTTTTCAGACTGTTAAAACAACATCGTTTCTGAGCAATAGTACGCGTTCAGGCGAAGCCGGGTGTCATCAATCTCCTCATACTCAACGTGTTTGTTACCTGTTAAGAACTGTTAATTATCCAGTTAGCCAAGCCTTTCATGCTTGTTAAGTCAGGCACCTGAGTGAATTTTCTCAGAAATTATAGGAAGAATCTTTCTCAAATTATTTATGTAGGTGTCCCTGTGTTTGTCCACATTCATATTTCTGGGCTGATTGGATTTTGACAGTTGGAGATTGTAAGAAATATTTCTATAAGTAGGATTCTTTTTCCTGATAGGTGTTATTGTATGATTAATTCAACAAATAATGGAAAAAATAGAACCGATCCGAGTCCCACAATAAAAATTAAACAATGATAAGCTAAACGGTTTCTCTTGGATCTATTATTTTAAGATACAATGGAATGTGATCAGCTGGCCCACTTTGTTAATTTCATGTACTAACGGCCGAGTAGTAAAGATAACTTGAATTATTAAACATATTAGTGCTGTTTATCTTCTTCCAGCCAAACAGTTCAGCTACCTATCAGAACACGAGTTGGAACGGATGAAGATGGAGGAAGGTAAGTTGTAAGGTTTTTAATGTAAAGTAACCACTTGGAAACCTTAATACTATTGAAGGATGTCTAGAGATTTAACAGAAACGTAGAAACTTGAGACAAAGATTGATACCTCTCTTCAGATGTAATAGAATGTCTGGAGATTTTACAGAAACTTAGAAACTTGTGAGACAAAGATTGATACCTCTCTTCAGATGTTATTATGAATTAGATCTCAAAATTTTAACCATAATTCTTATTTCAGCCCTTCCTAAAAATGTTTTTGAATTGTGTCAATGAATCGTTCATATTAAAAATTATGTAATAACAATGGATTGAAGAAATAGTAGCATCATAAACAGCAATGAGTGTTTTCAAAAGTTTCATGCCAGTTTGATGTCAAAGAACAAAAAAAAGAAGATATTATCGCTTCATTGTTGTTGCAGTTCACTTCTTTATAGCAGCATTATTATTGCAGAGAAAAAAGCCAACAGCATGTCTAAAGAGGAACTCCTGTCCAGTGTTACCGGCAATGTAGGCAGTTCTTCACAAGAACAGGAGTACAACCAAGTGCTTTCCAGGTAGACCTCTAGGGGGTACCACTGTCTATAGATAAGACCAGACCACTCGGGGCACCACTGTCTATAGATCAGACAAGACCACTAGGGGGCACCACTGTCGTTATAGATCAGACCAGACCACTAGGGGGCATCACTGTCAATAGATCAGACCAGACCACTCGGGGCACCACTGTCTATAGATCAGACCAGACCTCTAGAGGGTACCATTGTCTATAGATCAGACCGAACCACTAGTGGCACCACTGTTGTTATAGATCAGACCAGACTTCAAGGGGGCATCATTGTCTTTAAATCAGAACAGACCACTAGGGGGCACCAGTGTCTGTTGATCAGACCAAACCACACGGGGGTACCATTGTCTATAGATCAGACCAGACCTTAGGGGGCATCGTCGTCTATAGATCAGACCAGACCACAAGGGGGCACCACTATCTATAGATAAGACCAGACCACTAGGGGGCATCACTGTCAATAGATCAGACCAGACCACTCGGGGCACCACTGTCTATAGATCAGACCAGACCTCTAGAGGGTACCATTGTCTATAGATCAGACCAAACCACTAGTGGCACCACTGTTGTTATAGATCAGACCAAACTACAAGGGAGCATCATTGTCTTTAAATCAAAACAGACCACTAGAGGGCACCAGTGTCTGTAGATCAGACCAAACCACACGGGGGTACCATTGTCTATAGATCAGACCAGACCACTAGGGGGCATCATTGTCTATAGATCAGACCAGACCACTAAGGGGCACCACTATCTATAGATCAGACCAGACCACTAGGGGGCACCAGTGTTGTTATAGATCAGATCAGACCACTAGGGGGCACCACTGTCATTATCGATTAGACCAGACCAATATGGGGCACCACTTTCTATAGATCAGACCAGACCTTTAGAGGCACCACTGTCTATAGATCACACCAGACCACTAGTGGGCACCACTGTTGTTCAAGATCTCACCAGACTACTAGGGGGCACCACTATCTATAGATCAGACCTGACCACTAGGGGGCACCACTGTCTAGAGATCACACCAGACCATGAGGAGGCACCACTGTCTTCATAGATCAGACCAGACCACTAGGGGGCATCACTGTCTATAGATCAGACCAGACCACTAGGGGGCACCAGTGTCTAGATCAGACCAGACCACTAGGGGGCACTATTGTCATTATAGATTAGACCAGACCACTAGGGGGCACCAGTGTTGTTATAGATCAGATCAGACCACAAGGGGGCACCACTGTCATTATAGATCAGACCTGACCACTAGGGGGCACCACTGTCTAGATATCACACCAGACCATGAGGAGGCACCACTGTCTTCATAGATCAGACCAGACCACTAGGGGGCACCAGTGTCTATAGATCAGACCAGACCACTAGGGGGCACTATTGTCATTATAGATCAGACCAGACCACTAGGGGGCACCACTGTCTAGAGATCACACCAGACCATGAGGAGGCACCACTGTCTTCATAGATCAGACCAGACCACTAGGGGGCACCAGTGTCTATAGATCAGACCAGACCACTAGGGGGCACTATTGTCATTATAGATTAGACCAGACCACTAGGGGGCACCAGTGTTGTTATAGATCAGATCAGACCACAAGGGGGCACCACTGTCATTATAGATCAGACTAGACCACTAGGGGGCACCAGTGTTGTTAAAGATCAGATCAGACCACTTTATGACACCACTGTCTGATTAGATCAGAATACAAAAGAATGAGTTAATTTTAAGGTCACAAGTTATTGTCCTTTGTATTTAATCCATCACCCACAACTGCAAATTTTTTGAGAAAAATACCTGTCCATTGTGAGAGGTACAAAATGAATCTGGTTTTGACATCCAATATTCAAAGTTATACAGCGCTTATTACTATACATGTATTTATCTAAATTTAAGAAACACCTTTCAATTATTTGCCCTCTATTTCAACTGCAAACTTTCAAAACAAAGTGATTTTTGTTCTGGATACCAGAGAATCTTACTGTGGTCTGTGATCAGGTGAAGCATGTTGAATGTGACCTTGTGCATGGTTAATTATGTTTCTGTCAAACTGATAGAAATGGTGCATTGAATGTTGATAACCAAAATGTGACCTTATTAACAAAACAGGATGAGCACATTCCATCTAACCAGGAAAATTCTCATGTTATCTGTAATGCTGTTTTATTAAAGGTTGGGATTAGTTTTAAAAATATTGAGACAAAAGGAGATAAAATAGATTGTAACAATTAGTCAATAATAGTTTTTAAAGCAGCGATGTTTACCAAGCTGTTTATAAGATCAAACTTAATTACCCTGGCCACAAGGTTTGTCAAAAGTGGCTTTTTTGATCTTTTTAAAAAAATTCATATGATTTGGCTGGTTTGTTGATGAAGTAATTTGAATGAATTGTGATGTTAGATTTAAAATGGAGCTAACAAAAATTTGAAGATTATGTTTATTTAGTGGTAATGTAATTATCGGCTAACAATAATTTCAGTCCAGTGGTAAGAATAAAAAGCAGGCGATGGATTCATGTTGATAAATGAATTGATTAACTAATTTAGTGTTTCTTGCGTTCATTGTTCATTTCAGGCCAACACCATTTAAATCGTCTCTACTGTGGCCTAGGCCGTATTCTGGGTATAATATTTATAATTTGTTGGCTTGAATCACATTTCACTTCTCCAGAAACATCATCACTGTTCATTTAAAGCCAGACAAACCCCTGTCCCTTCAAATATTAGCAAATCAAAAAGCTGCTCACTGCTTCCCAAATATCAACCATAAAGATGCTGCACAACTTCCAAATATCAGCCAATCAGATAGCTGCTCCACTGCTATCCAAATATCAGCCAATCAGATAGTTGCTCCATTATCTTCAAAATGTCAGCCAATCAGATAACTGCTGCACTGTTTTCCAAATATCACCCAATCAGATATCTGCTCCACTGTCTTCCAGATATCACCCAATCAGATACCTGCTCCTCTGTCTTTCAAATATCAACCAATCAGATAGCTGCTCCACTGTCTTTCAAATATCAACCAATCAGATAGCTGCTCCACTGTCTTCCAAATATTAGCAATGAAAGTAGTTTAATTAATATTTTGTTGAAAATTTTATGAGCCAATCACAAACCAATCCTTCAATTATCCCAAAGACCACCATCAAATGTATTTATATATATTTTTTAAATGTTAGCATTTCATGATGTTTTCAAATATGGAGAAATTGGGAAATATTGTGGGGTATCAAGCTGCATGGAATGGATTGATTCAAAATGTTGGTATGTTTAAAATGTAGTTCATCTATAAACATCTGTCGAAACTGAAAATTAGGATTATGACATGAAAAGGTAGAGAAGGAGATTTTAAGAAATAAAACTGCTTTACAGAATAAATTATTTCGTCATTTTGATAGATAAAACTTCTGACGTCATCAAAATAGAATCATTGTATAAATCTTAGCGGATGTTTAATATTCATTTATTTGAATTCTCCTATGATTTATTCTTTAAACATTTCCCGAAAGTTAACTCCCTTTGTTTCCGCCATGTCCTCAATCAATATATACATGGTAGAATTACTACTCAGTGCAGCATCACATGAAAAAACATTTTTTATTTGCCGTGATCTGCCGATGGTAATTTTTGTTGTACAATATGCCAGAGTTTTGTGCTCCTTTCATAGTAATAGCTCTGCAAATTTAAAGTAGAGAAACAATTTATGTTCCTGAAAACGGCAATATACCAACATTCTATGTAAGTGTAAAAATTATTGGTTTGTGCAGTTGAAGTTAACTGATAGCAAATATGTCACAAATCAACCATCTATTGTGTTTAGAAGTAACAGATGAACTGATAAATAAGAAAATTGTTAGGAAAATATCATCTGTCAATTTGTCAATTCATCTGTTGTACATATATGTCAAGTAACATGGAAACTGATAGCACTCTCTAACTAGATTCTAATTCAGGGGAGAAACAACCTGATACCAAAAGGTTTAGATAAACTTATTTTGATAAAGCTCCATTGATAGAGCACTATTTTAGTTAAAAAAAAAAGATTTGAATGAGTTGTATTAACTTAGAATAACTAAGTTTGATTTCCAGTTGTATATAGTTAGGTACAACACTTTGTTTCCTCTGATTTAGTTATGCTTTTAGTTTGACATAAAGCCTCTGATTATATTTAATTCTGTTATATTCCTGATCCCACTTAGAAATTTGCAAGTAGACAAAGAACAAACAGGTTCTGCTGTCATTATTTTATCAGAAACATTAACAATTTACTTATCATTGATCCTATGTCGTCATGGAGACAATACTGACGTTTATAATTTTCTCTCCTAACACGCTGACTTGTGATCAACAGTTTGCAGTTCAGGTAATTTGCATAAGCACATGATTGTTGTCCTCGATGTTGTCAGGTCATAAGATTTTTATTATGAGCATGATTTTTACTTAGCTATTGTCAGATATTGAATAATTTTGGATAATATTTTTCCTTACTTCTGCAGCTTAATCCTGTGATGGAAATTTTTTTACTGTTTATCAACTCTGACTTGGTGTATCTCTTTAATGTTCATTCGACCCTCGTTATCTTTAACTCATAACTCCAAAGCCCTGTTTAATTTGAAGATGTTTGTTGTCAGTCCCTGCCTAATTAAATACAAAGCATTCGCACTTACTTAAATTGAATACTTGTTTATCTGGAAGTTGTCCCATGGTCCTGTCGGGGTTCAACAGTTTCTTTATTTTATCCACGAATGGTTGATTCAGTGGCTCTGTCTGAAGAATTTAACCAATGTATTTTTTTTAATGGGTTATGGGGAATTATGTACAAAGGTTATTTTGACTGTCTTCCTTGTTTTTGTCCCTATGTTAAGAACAAGGTACATGAAACCTCACGCTGTCATTATTTCAGCCATTTTGTAGTGGTACAGGTTTATTTCCGATCTTAATGTTTACCTTGGATAAAAGTGTTATGGAATTGTTTAAATGAGCTCTATAAGACTGCCAGTACAATATTATTAGTGATATTAGATTTACATAATGCACAATTTTAGATTTATATTTGTGTCTTATATTTTATATATAGTCTTTTTGAACAGAATTCGTGATATTGATTTGCACTAAAATATTTTGGGAATGAAAAATTTGAATAGTAAGTCAATAAAATTTGACATAAAAAGGTCATAAGGTTGAAATTTAAAAGAAGAAATGATTATACAGAATATAAAGGGTTGTCACTGTAGTGGAACTTTCCAACTCTAGTATCTACACGTAGCTAATGTATTAACACTTGTTATTGTGTCTGTTTACACCTGTCATTCTGTTGGAATGTATTGACATGTGTCAATGTCTGTTGACATGTGCCAACATGTTGTATCTCGCAGAAATGCTCTCAATGTTGTATCTAAGGTTAGTGTGCTTTTCATAACTTGTAATATTGTGAAAACAATATTTGCTACACTTAGAATTTTTTTTTTTTATATATAATTCAGTTTACTAAAGTATTATAACTATAGTGAAATGAAATATCAAACTTACACCAACTTTCCCAATATTTCTGTCATAAAAAGGAATTTCTATTTCAACAGTATCACAAATGGGTCAGATTTACTTTATGAATACATTGTTGATAAACATATACGGCCAATCCCAGTATAAATGACGGCAAATATGCTACCTAATTTCAGCACCTGTCTTCCACATGAGATTAATACTACAAATAAGTCATAGCTACTTCATGAGGCTTTTAATTTTACCTTTTTTTTTTTTTTCTTTTTTCAAAAAGACAACTAAGGGAGATAACTCTATAAAAAATCACCTGTATTTTTGGTGCTATGTTATGAAAAGTGTAAATATCTTATAAATGTATGTGGCATGAGGAGATACACAGAGTTTATTCTAGGCAGTTTTAATACTGTTCTGTTTCATCTCAGATATAAAATCCTTACTGGTGATTTATAAACAAAACATGATGATGTAACAGAAAACTCACCAAGGTTTACAAAAAATTTCACTAGTCAGGATATCTTATAACTTGGTAGGCGTAGACCGCTAAATTCTTGAAAGGTATCACCAAGGTTTAGACATCAGATGTATTCCACTTGTCAGGATATCTCCATCTCTACATTACACAGAGGTGATTACATAAACAACAATGTTGGTAAATATCTGTACATGTAGAGGTAGTGAGATTAAATCAAAGCAAAAGATATGTTATGTTTTCTACCCAGAGGAAAGTGTTCCTGAAGGACAATATTTGGTTCTTATTTAATTTGTTTCTTGTTCTCTTGAAAACTTTTATTTTTTAAACACAGAATTAAGAAACTCCCTGAAATAACTCTGCATGTATCTGTTGTTTGTGCTCTATACCTTGTAATAGAACTGTTTGTGTTGTACACCATGTTTGAGACTGTGTCTTGTTTGCCTGTGGCATGTGTCTTGTCTCTTATTGTCTCCTGTTTGTCTCTCCCAGTCCTAGCGGCAGTGTGGTGCGTACCGCAAAGGCCGAGAAACGTATGCAAGACCGACTGGCAGCTGAGGGGTCGGTGGGACCCGCAGGTGACCCTGTCTCACCTGCTGAGGAACGCCAGCTTCAGGCAGAGAAAAGGGCAGCATGGCGAAAGGCTAGGTGTGTGGCCTATGGTTGACAGTACTTGTTGGGTTTGGTAAATGTGGAGATTAAATGTAGCTTGATAAATATAGGCATTAAGAGGTACAAGTAAATGTGACTAGTATGTGACCAAAATTGAGCTCATTAGTATATATAGGTATTATTAGGTACTTCATAGTAAATATACAGATCATCAGGCACTTATTTGTAATTATAGGGATTAATAGGGGCTTATTGGTAAATACAGAGATTATAAAAGGCTTGTTGGTAAATACAGAGATTATAAAAGGCTTGTTGGTAGATATAAGGATATTCAGAGTCTCATTGGTAAATATAGGGATTATCAGAGGCTCGTTTGTCAATATAGGGATTATCAGAGGCTCGTTTGGTAAATATATGGATTATCAGTGGCTCATTGGTAAATATAGGGATAATCAGAGGCTTGTTGGTAAATATAGGGATTATCTGAGGCTTGTTGGTAAATATAGGGATTATCAGAGGCTCATTGGTAAATATAGGGATTCTCTGAGGCTTGTTGGTAAATATAGGGATAATCAGAGGCTCATTGGTAAATATAGGGATTATCAGTGGCTCATTGTTAAATATAGGGATTATCAGTGGCTCATTGTTAAATATAGGGATTATCAGTGGCTCATTGTTAAATATAGGGATAATCAGAGGCTCGTTGGTAAATATAGGGATTATCAGAGGCTCGTTGGTAAATATAGGGATTATCTGAGGCTCGTTGGTAAATATATGGATAATCAGAGGCTCGTTGGTAAATATAGGGATTATCAGAGGCTCGTTGGTAAATATAGGGATAATCAGAGGCTTGTTGGTAAATATAGGGATTATCTGAGGCTTGTTGGTAAATATAGGGATTATCTGAGGCTTGTTGGTAAATATAGGGATTATCTGAGGCTTGTTGGTAAATATAGGGATAATCAGAGGCTTGTTGGTAAATATAGGGATTATCTGAGGCTTGTTGGTAAATATAGGGATTATCTGAGGCTTGTTGGTAAATATAGGGATTATCTGAGGCTTGTTGGTAAATATAGGGATAATCAGAGGCTCGTTGGTAAATATAGGGATTATCTGAGGCTTGTTGGTAAATATAGGGATTATCTGAGGCTTGTTGGTAAATATAGGGATAATCAGAGGCTCGTTGGTAAATATAGGGATTATCTGAGGCTTGTTGGTAAATATAGGGATTATCTGAGGCTTGTTGGTAAATAGAGGGATAATCAGAGGCTCGTTGGTAAATATAGGGATAATCAGAGGCTCATTGGTAAATATAGGGATTATCTGAGGCTTTTTGGTAAATATAGGGATTATCTGAGGCTTGTTGATAAATATAGGGATTATCAGAGGCTCGTTGGTAAATATAGGGATAACAAGGAGCTCATTTGTTAAAGGGATAAACAGGGGCTCATAGGTAAAATGATAGATGTTACAAGTCTAGGGGCTTATTTTGAAATATAGGGATTATCTATGGCTCATTTTCAAATTTGTAATTTAAATGGGGATAGAGGAAAACCTACCATTTACCTGAGGCTCATTTTAGTTTGATAGGTAACTTATGGGATGTTTAAATTTAGCTTTCCTTGATCCTCGGATAACACGAAATTTAATTAGTGTTAGGTAAAATTGACAGAGAAATATAGGGCTTGCTGGAAGCTCGTTAAATGTAGGAGCTTATTGGTGAATGGGTGAATGTGGTTATTGTTGGGGCTTGGTATATGTGAAACTAATAAAAAATGCAATCAAGAACAGTATCCATATACATAATGTTTACCTCTATTTTATATCCCATCTCTTGTATTATTGATCATTCAATATCATTTATAAACCTGTAGTGTATAACAAAATATCTATGGAAGACAATTTGTCTTCAATTTTTTGACAAAATTCTGTGAAAATTTAAGTGTATATATATTTTTTATGAAAGTTTGTGGAACATTTGAAATTTGTTTAGTGATAAACCTGGCATTGGCAGGAATACATAGGTATCCTGTTTGTCTTCATATCTGTAGAGCTGATAACAAAACTCCGTAATTTGGAAAGAGGGGGTGAATGTCTTTATGTTAATTGTGTATATTGTGTATTAATGTGTAGGCTAGCCATCTGATGCCTAACAACACCTAGTAGTCATCTAGTGTGAAGCACCTTTAGATAAGATGCACATTCTACTGACTAATTTTATTGAATTTAGTTCTGATTCTGTGTTAGAGGAAGAACAATGTCTTCTTTTCAGATTCTTCAGTTGTCCAGTATTAGGCATCAAATGATGATGTTAGGGTGTTGTCCAGCTAAGCAGCTTTATCTCATCAAATGATGATGTTAGGGTGTTGTCCAGCAAATGACAGTAGAATATTTTCCAGCTGATGACAGTAGAATATTTTCCAGTTGATGACAGTAGAATATTTTCCAGCTGATGACAGTAGAATGTTGTCCAGCTGATGACAGTAGAATATTTTCCAGCTGATGACAGTAGAATATTTTCCAGCTGATGGCAGTAGACTGTTGTCCAGCTGATGACAGTAGAATATTTTCCAGATGATGACAGTAGACTGTTGTCCAGCTGATGACAGTGGAATATTTTCCAGCTGATGACAGTAGACTGTTGTCCAGCTGATGACAGTAGAATATTTTCCAGCTGATGACAGTAGAATATTTTCCAGCTGATGGCAGTAGACTGTTGTCCAGCTGATGACAGTAGAATATTTTCCAGCTGATGACAGTAGACTGTTGTCCAGCTGATGACAGTAGAATATTTTCCAGCTGATGGCAGTAGACTGTTGTCCAGCTGATGACAGTAGAACATTTTCCAGCTGATGACAGTAGACTGTTGTCCAGCTGATGACAGTAGACTGTTGTCCAGCTGATGACAGTAGACTGTTGTCCAGTTGATGACACTAGAATAATTTCCAGCTGATGACAGTAGACTGTTGTCCAGCTGATGACAGTAGAATATTTTCCAGCTGATGACAGTAGACTGTTGTCCAGCTGATGACACTAGAATATTTTTCAGCTGATGACAGTAGAATATTTTCCAGTTGATGACAATTGACCGTTGTCAACCTGATGATGAAAAATTTTAGATGGACCTTTCTCAAATTTCATACAAAATTCAAGATTGCCGGCTGTTGCATTTCGACTGTCAATGTCTGTTGTGGCTGTTTTTTCAGAAATCATCAGAGAGATCTATTTCTGAATCATAACTAGTTTGGTTCCCCTTGTAGCCAATTGTGCTGGTCAGACAGATAAGAAAAACAAAATGGCGGGCATTTGTGGCCATCTTCTGTTTTGGTCCTCACAGTTTGTGATCTTTATTTTCTTGAGGATTTCTGTAATAATCATATGAAAGCTTTCATTGGTCCTTTATTGTATCTGTTCTATTTTGAAACCAAACTGGAAAACAAAATGACCCAAAGAAGGCCATGTTGGATTTTTGATATGTATAGTTTGTTACCACTAATTCCTCATGTTTTTTTCATTTTCATATTGGGTTTCCCTTGGTGCCATCTTGAGACTACTGTAAAACCCAATGTAATGTGCAGTCCTTTTTTTTTTTTTTTTTTTTTGTAATAAATGTCCATGGAAGGGTGGGGAGAAGGAGTGAGGCACACAGTACAGTACGTAGCTATAGGATTTTCAAGTTGTTTTTTTTTTTTTGTTTTTTTTGTTTTTGTTTTTTTTTCATGGAAAAATTGAAGATTCTTTGAGGCGGCCATCATTGATTGTCAGGGTTATCTGGTTCTCAGAACTGACAGAAAAAGGATTTGACCATTTGTCTATGAACACCAATATTAAATATGATAATTACTTCATATATTGATGGAAAATATAGTGTCAATATCATGCAAAATTTGGACAAAGTATTTGAAAATATGATGGCAACTAGGAAGACAGAAAATTAATGATCAGCAAAGGCAAGTGGCCTGTTTTGGGACATTGAAAAATATGTCAATTATGATTTTATTATCTTCTGAAACACTTAATGTTCAACTGCTAAGAATTGGACAGGTTTCATTTTCTTTTCTTTCACATTGGATATCACCACAAAGCAGAAGTCATGAGCACATTTTTCCTGTGTATTAGCAGAAATTAGCATTGACTTTAGTATGCGGAGTGTAGATTGAGACTTATCAACGGACTATATCTTACTATAATGTGTAATGTAACAACTTTCTTTTTAATACGCCTATGTCTACAGTACATTCCGTGTAATTCCATTCCGTACTCCCGATATCGATTGTTTACATACAGAGTTGAAGCCTTGTTTTGACACCGAGACGTAAAAGAATAGTTGACTTGAGGAGATTGTATTTACCTGCTTTGGTCAAGACTAGGTAGATAATGACTTGTAATTTGAACACTGTTGATTAGAGTTAGTGTGAAGACAAGTGCTTGTGTATGTGAGATAATTAGTTAAGTGAATGATACAGCGTGACGTGTCTGATGTCAAAGAAAACAAGAAAATGCACAAACGTTAGGCAGTGTTTTTCTTCATTTGTATTGTACCTGTAATTAAACAGAAGTTTATTAATTCAGTAAATGAGATGAAAACAAATTCTGAAGAGAATACTGTAAAATTTTGGACTTAATATCGTTGGTCTGATGCATTAGCCAAATATTCTTAAATCAATTTCTTGGCTCCTGGAGATTGATTTGGACAGAATTTTTGGGTGCGCATATTATGTAAGTAGAAGAAATGTTTACCATTTTCAGCCCCTAAAAGTACCTTAACACATTATGTAGGTGTGCACAATAGGCAGGGATTACAGTAGCCAAGAAGAAGAATTGGCTACCATAGAACTGGACCAATTTTGATCCATCTTTGGATGATTTTTCCTTAAATGTTGAACAATATAAATCCATGAATCAATCAACTGTCCATACAAAAGACTGTTTAAGAGCAAAGAAAACAAAAAATTGAACAAAGAAAGATCCAGTGAAGAATATGTAACGGTGGACACCAAGTTTCTTCTGGGAATTCAGTTACTGCTAAAGACTTTTCAGTGAAATGTTTTGTGTCGGCAGAGATTGATGTGTGTTGCAATTCTTCAGTAATGGAGGTTATATACCATTTGCTGGTTTCATATTCAGATCTTTTTTTCTTTCCTGAATGTGTTAATTGAAAGTAAAACAGATTATTTATTATCCTCATCATATCCTTGTGGCTACCAAATATTTCCAGTGATAACCTTGAAAACTCAGCATTTTGATTCCTTGTTTCTATTAGAGTTATCTTTCTTTATTTCTACTCTCTTCTAACTTTGAAACTTTTTCAAGTGGCATGTGCTTCCCACCCAGCATTCCCCTCCAAAGATTTAAGCGATGTACTCTTCAGGAATTCAAAAAAAAGTCACATTTGTTTATAAAAATACATGATAGAAAGATTAGAATGATGAAGTATGATAGCTAGACAAGTACCTCACACAATGTTTAATAAGGAATAGTGCTATTTTCAGAGGCCAATTTTTGGCATTTTTCTGAAGCAGTTTTGAGGGAATGTTTTATAGGTAAATTAACAATAGAAAGTGTTTTGAACCGATCTCCACCATGCAAATTACCCAAGTTTGTACGGTCTGACCAAAAATCACCCTGACAAAATTTGTTTTCTTCTTCTCAACTTTGTCCAAACGATGATGTGGAATTTAAAGAACTCAGCTTTATTTTAAATAGTCAGAAAAATTCAGATATAAATAGACTTCCAGTACAGGTGGTAATATGATTAGCAATGCAAATTTTCAGTAATTTAGTGTTTAAATATAGAGGATACATAGAAAATGTCACTTCGGTTGACAAACTGTAGGGTGGTCACAGCAGGGACAACTACTTTGAGGTGTGTTATTGTACAGTATGACTACTGTAGGAGGTGTGTTATTGTACGGTATGACTACTGTAGGAGGTGTGTTATTGTACGGTATGACTACTGTAGGAGGTGTGTTATTGTACACTATGACTATTGTAGGAGGTGTGTTATTGTACAGAATGACTACTGTAGGAGGTGGGTTATTGTGCACTATGACTACTGTAGGAGGTGTGTTATTGTACAGTATGACTACTGTAGGAGGTGGGTTATTGTACGGTATGACTACTGTAGGAGGTTTGTTATTGTACAGAATGACTACTGTAGGAGGTGGGTTATTGTACAGTATGACTACTGTAGGAGGTGTGTTATTGTACAGTATGACTACTGTAGGAGGTGTGTTACTGTAGGAGGTGTGTTATTGTACAGTATGACTACTGTAGGAGGTGGGTTATTGTACAGTATGACTACTGTAGGAGGTGTGTTATTGTACAGTATGACTACTGTAGGAGGTGTGTTATTGTACGGTATGACTACTGTAGGAGGTGTGTTATTGTACAGTATGACTACTGTAGGAGGTGTGTTACTGTAGGAGGTGTGTTATTGTACAGTATGACTACTGTAGGTGTGTTATTGTACAGTATGACTACTATAGGAGGTGTGTTACTGTAGGAGGTGTGTTATTGTACAGTATGACTACTGTAGGAGGTGGGTTATTGTACAGTATGACTACTGTAGGAGGTGGGTTATTGTACTGTATGACTACTGTAGGAGGTGTGTTATTGTACAGTATGACTACTGTAGGAGGTGTGTTATTGTACGGTATGACTACTGTAGGAGGTGGGTTATTGTACAGTATGACTACTGTAGGAGGTGGGTTATTGTACAGTATGACTACTGTAGGAGGTGTGTTATTGTACAGTATGACTATTGTAGGAGGTGTGTTATTGTACAGTATGACTACTGTAGGAGGTTGGTTATTGTACAGTATGACTACTGTAGGAGGTGTTATTGTACAGTATGACTACTGTAGGAGGTGTGTTATTGTACAGTATGACTACTGTAGGAGGTGTGTTACTGTACAGTATGACTACTGTAGGAGGTGTGTTATTGTACAGTATGACTACTGTGTTAGGAGGTATGTTACTGTTGTGTTGTGTTATTGTACAGTATGACTACTGTAGGAGGTGTGTTATTGTACAGTATGACTACTGTAGGAGGTGTGTTATTGTACAGTATGACTACTGTAGGAGGTGTGTTATTGTACAGTATGACTACTGTAGGAGGTGGGTTATTGTACAGTATGACTACTGTAGGAGGTGTGTTACTGTAGGAGGTGTGTTATTGTACAGTATGACTACTGTAGGAGGTGTGTTATTGTACAGTATGACTACTGTAGGAGGTGTGTTATTGTACAGTATGACTACTGTAGGAGGTGTGTTATTGTACAGTATGACTACTGTAGGAGGTGTGTTATTGTACAGTATGACTATTGTAGGAGGTGTGTTATTGTACAGAATGACTACTGTAGGAGGTGGGTTATTGTACAGTATGACTACTGTAGGAGGTGTGTTATTGTACAGTATGACTACTGTAGGAGGTGTGTTATTGTACAGTATGACTACTGTAGGAGGTGTGTTATTGTACAGTATGACTACTGTAGGAGGTGTGTTATTGTACAGTATGACTACTGTAGGAGGTGTGTTATTGTACAGTATGACTACTGTAGGAGGTGTGTTATTGTACGGTATGACTACTGTAGGAGGTGGGTTATTGTACAGTATGACTACTGTAGGAGGTGGGTTATTGTACAGTGTATATCTAGCTGCATGATGACCATGGCTGTCACTGTATGTGCTTTTAGGATGAAGTCTCTAGAAGAAGATGCCATGAAAGCACAAGCTGTGATCGCCCGAGCACAGGAAATGCATCACGAACTCACCTCTAGTGGAGGTAGGCCTTCAACACTGCTTGGCTTTGTCACTTTTTTTTTTTTTTTTTTCAATAAAAGATTTTAATCTCTCACACTTTAGCCTGTCTGCATGGAATTTTAATTTGTTTCCATAGAACTATATTACGATTTTTGAACCAAAAGAATTTGGTGTTAATATTCTACTCAACCTGTTCAAGTTTCCAGTAACATAGGGGATAAGACAGAACTCATACAGAAAGCTATGAACATTTCAAATGTTTGATTTTGGTTATATAGTAAAAATCCAAACATCAAAAATTTGGCAAGTTAAGAGAAATAAAGTGAAAAAAACGAAAATTGTTTTTAGTTTTGAATTGTAAACTTGAAGGATCAGATTGAGTAACTGACTACCTTTTAAAGTGGTCATCTACCCTTCCATAAAATATATTTTACTGTTGCCATAGAAACATATTCAGATTTCTCACTGATGTCCCTGGCTAGGTCATTTCTGAAGGCATATTTGGCCCTCGTGGTTACACTAAGGTATTGTAACACATGAACATTTTGTCATTCAGATGCTGACAAAGCTGATGGTCCCATAAGTCATAATGGCGAACAGGTAAGTCCTATCACCATGGTTACCCACAACAAATTGGGACTTTTTGGAAAATTCATTTGCAGAAACACTGACGTGCTGTGTAGACTAAAAAATCAACATATAGATGATAGACCCTAGATGTACTGTAATGGATGTGTGTAGACAACATATAGATGATAGACCCTAGATGTACTGTAATGGATGTGTGTAGACAACATATAGATGATAGACCCTAGATGTACTGTAATGGATGTGTGTAGGTATCAACATATAGATGATAGACCCTAGATGTACTGTAATGGATGTGTGTAGACAACATATAGATGATAGACCCTAGATGTACTGTAATGGATGTGTGTAGACAACATATAGATGATAGACTGTAGATGTACTGTAATGGATGTGTGTAGACAACATATAGATGATAGACCCTAGATGTACTGTAATGGATGTGTGTAGACTACATATAGATGATAGACCCTAGATGTACTGTAATGGATGTGTGTAGGTATCAACATATAGATGATAGACCCTAGATGTACTGTAATGGATGTGTGTAGACAACATATAGATGATAGGCCCTAGATGTACTGTAATGGATGTGTGTAGACAACATATAGATGATAGACCCTTGATGTACTGTAATGGATGTGTGTAGACAACATATAAATGATAGACCCTAGATGTACTGTAATGGATGTGTGTAGGTATCAACATATAGATGATAGACCCTAGATGTACTGTAATGGATGTGTGTAGGTATTAACATATAGATGATAGACCCTAGATGTACTGTAATGGATGTGTGTAGACAACATATAGATGATAGACCCTAGATGTACTGTAATGGATGTGTGTAGGTATCAACATATAGATGATAGACCCTAGATGTACTGTAATGGATGTGTGTAGACAACATATAGATGATAGACCCTAGATGTACTGTAATGGATGTGTGTAGACAACATATAGATGATAGTCTGTAGATGTACTGTAATGGATGTGTGTAGACAACATATAGATGATAGACCCTAGATGTACTGTAATGGATGTGTGTAGACTACATATAGATGATAGACCCTAGATGTACTGTAATGGATGTGTGTAGGTATCAACATATAGATGATAGACCCTAGATGTACTGTAATGGATGTGTGTAGACAACATATAGATGATAGGCCCTAGATGTACTGTAATGGATGTGTGTAGACAACATATAGATGATAGACCCTTGATGTACTGTAATGGATGTGTGTAGACAACATATAAATGATAGACCCTAGATGTACTGTAATGGATGTGTGTAGGTATCAACATATAGATGATAGACCCTAGATGTACTGTAATGGATGTGTGTAGGTATTAACATATAGATGATAGACCCTAGATGTACTGTAATGGATGTGTGTAGACAACATATAGATGATAGACCCTAGATGTACTGTAATGGATGTGTGTAGGTATCAACATATAGATGATAGACCCTAGATGTACTGTAATGGATGTGTGTAGACAACATATAGATGATAGACCCTAGATGTACTGTAATGGATGTGTGTAGACAACATATAGATGATAGACCCTAGATGTACTGTAATGGATGTGTGTAGACAACATATAGATGATAGACCCTAGATGTACTGTAATGGATGTGTGTAGACAACATATAGATGATAGACCCTAGATGTATTGTAATGGATGTGTGTAGACAACATATAGATGATAGACCCTAGATGTACTGTAATGGATGTGTGTAGGTATTAACATATAGATGATAGACCCTAGATGTACTGTAATGGATGTGTGTAGACAACATATAGATGATAGACCCTTGATGTACTGTAATGGATGTGTGTAGGTATCAACATATAGATGATAGACCCTAGATGTACTGTAATGGATGTGTGTAGACAACATATAGATGATAGACCCTAGATGTATTGTAATGGATGTGTGTAGACAACATATAGATGATAGACCCTTGATGTACTGTAATGGATGTGTGTAGGTATCAACATATAGATGATAGACCCTAGATGTACTGTAATGGATGTGTGTAGACAACATATAGATGATAGTCTGTAGATGTACTGTAATGGATGTGTGTAGACAACATATAGATGATAGACTGTAGATGTACTGTAATGGATGTGTGTAGACAACATATAGATGATAGACCCTAGATGTACTGTAATGGATGTGTGTAGACTACATATAGATGATAGACCCTAGATGTACTGTAATGGATGTGTGTAGGTATCAACATATAGATGATAGACCCTAGATGTACTGTAATGGATGTGTGTAGACAACATATAGATGATAGGCCCTAGATGTACTGTAATGGATGTGTGTAGACAACATATAGATGATAGACCCTTGATGTACTGTAATGGATGTGTGTAGACAACATATAAATGATAGACCCTAGATGTACTGTAATGGATGTGTGTAGGTATCAACATATAGATGATAGACCCTAGATGTACTGTAATGGATGTGTGTAGGTATTAACATATAGATGATAGACCCTAGATGTACTGTAATGGATGTGTGTAGACAACATATAGATGATAGACCCTAGATGTACTGTAATGGATGTGTGTAGGTATCAACATATAGATGATAGACCCTAGATGTACTGTAATGGATGTGTGTAGACAACATATAGATGATAGACCCTAGATGTACTGTAATGGATGTGTGTAGACAACATATAGATGATAGACCCTAGATGTACTGTAATGGATGTGTGTAGACAACATATAGATGATAGACCCTAGATGTATTGTAATGGATGTGTGTAGACAACATATAGATGATAGACCCTAGATGTACTGTAATGGATGTGTGTAGGTATTAACATATAGATGATAGACCCTAGATGTACTGTAATGGATGTGTGTAGACAACATATAGATGATAGACCCTTGATGTACTGTAATGGATGTGTGTAGGTATCAACATATAGATGATAGACCCTAGATGTACTGTAATGGATGTGTGTAGGTATTAACATATAGATGATAGACCCTAGATGTACTGTAATGGATGTGTGTAGACAACATATAGATGATAGACCCTAGATGTACTGTAATGGATTTGTGTAGACAACATATAGATGATAGGCCCTTGATGTACTGTAATGGATTTGTGTAGACACATATAGATGATAGACCCTAGATGTACTGTAATGGATGTGTGTAGACACATATAGATGATAGACCCTAGATGTACTGTAATGGATGTGTGTAGACACATATAGATGATAGACCCTAGATGTACTGTAATGGATGTGTGTAGACACATATAGATAATAGACCCTAGATGTATTGTAATGGATGTGTGTAGACAACATATAGATGATAGACCCTAGATGTACTGTAATGGATGTGTGTAGACACATATAGATGATAGACCCTAGATGTACTGTAATGGATGTGTGTAGACAACATATAGATGATAGACCCTAGATGTACTGTAATGGATGTGTGTAGACTACATATAGATGATAGACCCTAGATGTACTGTAATGGATGTGTGTAGGTATCAACATATAGATGATAGACCCTAGATGTACTGTAATGGATGTGTGTAGACAACATATAGATGATAGATGATGTACTTGCAGAATTTTGGTGTAAATATTATTTGTTTTCATGTTAATGCAGTCCCTCTGTATTGGGGACAAAGTTCTGACTTTGAGTCGAGTTGAGGGCGACAAAGCTGTTAGGGAATCATCACGATTATTGGACGAAAGGGTCAGTGAAAAAACTATCGCTGTTCAAGATGAAGCTACTGGCAAAATGTGCTTTCGTACGATTCAAGTTGTAGAGAAAATTATCGAACATGAGGTATTACTTTGTATTTACCCGTTCACCAGAAGTGGGATTGCTTCTACTTCCTTTGCTTGGGGTCAAAGGTCAGAGTACCTAATTTTCCCGTTATTTCTACCCTTGCTTGTGAATGTTGGCTGTATATTTCCTCTGTTGCGAATTTCTGTTGTGAATTTTTGTTGGGTATTCAGGACTCCAAAGGATCACTGTTTTGTTGTACTTAAGGATAATATAGGTAAAAGTTACCAGAATATTGTCCACCACCGTGTATGTCTGTTTCTGTGGACAGATGTTGTTTCTGTAAATGATTGGATGATAATAGCCATTAACATGGTCTATCACAAACTCCTGTCAATAGAATGACTACCAGGGGAAAAGTTTGAGCAATTTCTTACAAGGAAAACACAAACCAGAATTTCCACACAAACCAGAATTTCCATGCAAACCAGAATTCCCACACAAACCAGAATTCATGCAAACCAGAATTCCCACACGAACCAGAATTCACACATGAACAGCAACATCACCAAAGATTTTTATAGCACAATGATTTTGCACATGTACAAGCCATTATCAATGAGACTACTGTAGTATAGTAATATAAAGTTATAATTTGTAGTTCAAATAGCTGCATTACCTGCTATATGATACTTTATTATAGTCAATATTTCAGTAATTCAAATTTTTAGGTCATTGTGCTTTGTCCGTCATTGTCAGCTATCCGCTGTGTGTAAACTTTTGACATTTTAAATTTCTTCTTAAGTTTCACTAATGGGATTGAGTTCAAACTTGCATGAAATGATCCTGAAATGGTTTTGACCAAATCTTATTTTTCGGGTCTGTCTGAAATCCAATATGTCCACCATCTTGAAAAACATTTTAAACTTCTTCTCCTGTTCCACTAGTGCCATAGAGCTAAAGATTGGTGGAAACGTTAAGGATAGGTAGCCAGCATCGTGTTGTTATTTTCTGACCTTGTCGAAACTGGCATGGCAGCCAGGGAAGCCATTTTGTAACATGATTGCACAATCATGATTTCACTGTGGAACACTTATTTCAAACCAGTTACATTGAGCTCCAACTTTACTGTCAAAAGATAAGCAATACATGTTACAGTTACCTATTCCTCACCAAAACTGCCATCTGAATCATGGAAAACAGCCTTTAGTAAGATTTAGTAAGTAGAAAAAATCACCCTTCTTCCAGTTGAAAGTTAGTGTAGTCAGATGGCCCCTAAGGCCCGTTGGCGTCTTGTTTTCTTTTTGCTTTTTTCAAATTCAAATTCAGTAAAAGTACAAAATTCAGTATGTAGTTTTGCAGAACAAATTTTCCAATATTGTGTGCTTTTTTGCAAAAGTTAGAATTTATTTTCATTTTGTTCTACTGCAAAGAAAATTTCTTGGCTGCTCTGAACATAAGTGATAAGTGTGAGTTTGGCATCACAACAAATTAGCAGTAAGCAAGTGTTAACAAGAGGAAGTATACACTACTATATTATAGTCACTGTTATCAATTCTTCACTCACGATGACAACATTTTTAAGATTTTTCTTCAATCACAAATTCCTTTTTCAGCATGTTTTTAATTTATCAGAGACATATGAAATTATTTCAAACAAACCTGTTGCAAAAGTCCTAATTCTATTAGTTTTTAAGGATCAGAATTCTACTGGGCTAATTTATCCATGTAAATGTTAAAAGAAAACCCAGGAGACTTTGTTGACGTTTCACTTAAATAGTTTGGTTTTTGTTGGAATGGGGTATATGGTTCTTTACTTGTTTCTATTTTGTTGTGTAAATGGGGAATCTGCTAGTCATTAGATGTCTTTTTAATGGTGTCATGTTTCTCTTTTGGAAAATGTTGTTTTCTTGTCTCAGTATTGTAAAGCTGTCAGAGAAATTTGTATCGCTTCATATAAAACAAACTGCCACCAAAATATAATAGTTCACTGTTTGGTTGTTCTGCAAAATAATAATTTTATTTTTAATAAAAACTCAACTTTAAAAGTTAAAAGTAAACAGAAGTAAAATTTTGTGAAATGTGATGATCTTCAAATTTGGTGGGAAAATGAGATAAGAGTTATACAATGTGACTTTAGAGATTAAGAAATCTGAAAGTAACAAAGGTGCTGAGATAGTTTAAAGTGTTACTCTGAAACCCTACTAATCTTACTAACATGTCCTTTCCCAGGTCGAGGTCACTCAAAAAAATATCATGGAGTTTAATCTTGAGGACTCTACAACTGGCCGGCTGGGGGTCAGTGAAGGGTCATAGGGCAGGAGGTCATAGTTCAGAGGCTGTATCCAGAGAGGTCAGTATTGGATGGTTCTGGGGTTGATTGGTGGTGTAAGCTTGTCTGTCTGGTGTATTGTTTCAATAATTGTAAAGACCTGTATACAATACTTCATTGTCCTTCTATATTTCAGTTTGTTGCTATTATTTTAGCAAAATTTTGCTACTTTCTCATTTTTTCTGTTTTATTTCTTTTTTGTTTTTTTTTTTTGTTTGTGGTTTTTTTTTCTTTATGGACAAGCTGTTTCATTCTAAAATTTGCTGTCTCTTTCAGGCTGTGACAAGTATCATAACCTTGACCTTTTGATAATTGCTGATCCAAACATCAGTGTGAATCCTGATTCTGTGTGTAAAGTCACTAATCCCCATCTCTGGTCCAAACATCAGGGTGAATCCTGATTCTGTGTGTAAAGTCACTAATCCCCATCTCTGGTCCAAACATCAGTGTGAATCCTGATTCTGTGTGTAAAGTCACTAATCCCCATCTCTGGTCCAAACATCAGTGTGAATCCTGATTCTGTGTGTAAAGTCACTAATCCCCATCTGTGGTCCAAACATCAGTGTGAATCCTGATTCTGTGTGTAAAGTCACTAATCCCCATCTCTGGTCCAAACATCAGTGTGAATCCTGATTCTGTGTGTAAAGTCACTAATCCCTATCTCTGGTCCAAACATCATTGTGAATCCTGATTCTGTGTGTAAAGTCACTAATCCCTATCTCTGGTCCAAACATCAGGGTGAATCCTGATTCTGTGTGTAAAGTCACTAATCCCTATCTGTGGTCCAAACATCAGTGTGAATCCTGATTCTGTGTGTAAAGTCACTAATCCCCATCTCTGGTCCAAACATCAGTGTGAATCCTGATTCTGTGTGTAAAGTCACTAATCCCTATCTCTGGTCCAAACATCATTGTGAATCCTGATTCTGTGTGTAAAGTCACTAATCCCTATCTCTGGTCCAAACATCAGGGTGAATCCTGATTCTGTGTGTAAAGTCACTAATCCCTATCTGTGGTCCAAACATCAGTGTGAATCCTGATTCTGTGTGTAAAGTCACTAATCCCTATCTGTGGTCCAAACATCAGTGTGAATCCTGATTCTGTGTGTAAAGTCACTAATCCCTATCTGTGGTCCAAACATCAGTGTGAATCCTGATTCTGTGTGTAAAGTCACTAATCCCTATCTCTGGTCCAAACATCAGTGTGAATCCTGATTCTGTGTGTAAAGTCACTAATCCCTATCTCTGGTCCAAACATCAGTGTGAATCCTGATTCTGTGTGTAAAGTCACTAATCCCTATCTCTGGTCCAAACATCAGTGTGAATCCTGATTCTGTGTGTAAAGTCACTAATCCCTATCTGTGGTCCAAACATCAGTGTGAATCCTGATTCTGTGTGTAAAGTCACTAATCCCTATCTGTGGTCCAAACATCAGTGTGAATCCTGATTCTGTGTGTAAAGTCACTAATCCCTATCTGTGGTCCAAACATAAGTGTGAATCCTGATTCTGTGTGTAAAGTCACTAATCCCCATCTCTGGTCCAAACATCAGTGTGAATCCTGATTCTGTGTGTAAAGTCACTAATCCCTATCTGTGGTCCAAACATCAGTGTGAATCCTGATTCTGTGTGTAAAGTCACTAATCCCTATCTGTGGTCCAAACATCAGTGTGAATCCTGATTCTGTGTGTAAAGTCACTAATCCCCATCTCTGGTCCAAACATCAGTGTGAATCCTGATTCTGTGTGTAAAGTCACTAATCCCTATCTGTGGTCCAAACATCAGTGTGAATCCTGATTCTGTGTGTAAAGTCACTAATCCCTATCTGTGGTCCAAACATCAGTGTGAATCCTGATTCTGTGTGTAAAGTCACTAATCCCTATCTGTGGTCCAAACATCAGTGTGAATCCTGATTCTGTGTGTAAAGTCACTAATCCCTATCTGTGGTCCAAACATCAGTGTGAATCCTGATTCTGTGTGTAAAGTCACTAATCCCTATCTGTGGTCCGAACATCAGTGTGAATCCTGATTCTGTGTGTAAAGTCACTAATCCCCATCTGTGGTCCAAACATCAGTGTGAATCCTGATTCTGTGTGTAAAGTCACTAATCCCTATCTGTGGTCCGAACATCAGTGTGAATCCTGATTCTGTGTGTAAAGTCACTAATCCCTATCTCTGGTCCAAACATCAGGGTGAATCCTGATTCTGTGTGTAAAGTCACTAATCCCTATCTCTGGTCCGAACATCAGTGTGAATCCTGATTCTGTGTGTAAAGTCACTAATCCCTATCTCTGGTCCAAACATCAGTATGAATCCTGATTCTGTGTGTAAAGTCACTAATCCCCGTCTCTGGTCCAAACATCAGTGTGAATCCTGATTCTGTGTAAGTGTTAAATCACGCATCCTCTCATCCCCTTCATTGACCTAGCCCTAATCATTTACCTAAATTGTTTCCATTTGTTCTGTCAGAAAAATCCAAATGGCAGGTTTGATTGTCATTAAATAGGAACTGTAATAAGAATTTTGTCTCCTATTTTAGCCAATCTTGTGATCTGTTGGTTTCCTCTTCCACTTCGGACGTACTGGATATCATGTGGCATAAAAAAAAAAAAAAAAAAAATTCACACACATTCATAACCAGTTGTTGCCTGAAACCCTCATATGTCACTGACTACAAAGGATAAGCTTTTAATCTTCAGACCATGCTGGCTTCAACCCCGACATGGTCTTCTTTATTTACCAGTCATCGTCCAAATCTGAATTATTTTTATGCTTACACTTGGAATTAATTTGTAATGTTGCAGGTTCAGTAACAGTAACTGGATATATAGATGCTAATACCCCCAAAAAACAAAAGTGAGCAGCTCCCTGCCACATGTACCAGACATGCCTATTCCGAGGACAGGGTCAGCAGGAAGGCCAGAGGTGACGTGTGTGCTGTGTGGACCGTCCTATGTGTCGAGCCAAGGCCGGACTTGTTATGGAGATGGAAACCTATAGCGACAATGTGTGATGTCATTATTCTTCATACCAATGTTTTATTTTATCAGACTCATTAACCATGGCTTACATAACAAAAATCATGCCAGATTGTCAAATTGTTCAAGGATTCCTTAATGGAAGGTGGCAATAATTATGCAGAGTGGAATTTCTATAAATTTCCAGAACCAAAGACGTCAATTGATCTTGATCTTCTTTTTTTTTTTTTTTTTTCAATGATATTGTGATCAAGAAAATTTCCAATCCGACCTGTGTTTTCTTGACATGTTATATAATGTCAGTACTTGGAAATGAAAAGTGAGCCCTGAACAGTCTCCTCACTTGGGTCCAAATGCATCATGAAACATCTGATGAAATGTGAAGGACTCAGGCTGTGGGTTGTCTTCAGTGAGGAGTCATAGTTCTAGGAAGTTCTTGACAGATTGGAGATAATATAAAATTTCTAACAATTCAGCCATTCAGAATTCTGATCAATAGAATAAAGAAATGGCTAGGTCATCACACTTGGGAGCTTGCTCACAATGAAAGTTCCCCAGGTACATCATGCTGTGGAGAAGAGGCATTCGTGCAATTTCTAAATATGTTCAAACCGAGGAGTGAAAATATTTTACGGGAAAGACTGGTATTGTTGATTCTATGTTAGGATGTATTTGTACAGAGAATTATATACACATATTTAGCACGTGATAAATACTGGATGGTTGAACTAGTATCTAAAAAGGTTCTGTCGTCATCCTGTTTTAACCTTATATTATAAATTGTAGATTAATTTTAAGTTATATCCTTTTCAACATGGTGTTTTAATTTTTAGCTATTATTTACAGGCGTTGGTCATTGTTTTAAGATTCTGATGGATTTTAATTTAAGCACGTTTACAACCGTAATTTAACTGATTTTGAATTGTAAATTATTTTGTTATATTATAATCTGTTGTACAATAACTTATTGACATATCTACAATTAGGTTTTCAAACATGTATCTCCAAGGTTTTAAAATTTGGACAGAAAGGCAGACTTTATTGATATCAGAACAAAACTTTTAAGATGTTGAACCAGAAAATCAAAGTTTTTCTAGAGGTCTTTTTATAGGTTTAAAATGCTTTTCAAATTTGAGTACTGATTAATTTAATTGATATTTTCAGTATGACTTGCTAGTGTTTGCTTATCAGCTTATTTCTGAAATCAATCATTTTTATTCCCATCCTCAAACTAAGGAACTCCTTTCATGGGCTTTGTGCAAAAGTAGTAGAATGTTTGATCACAGTTTTTATAGGAGTAAAGATGTTTTTAGTATCGGATTTTATTAATGAATGTAGAGTATTCATACAAGTCTTTGGCTGACCTTTGTGTCATGTCAATAATCAGTATTCAGCATAGTATATCATCCTTGGCATATCTTGTTTCAACGTTTTGTAACTATTATTTGTTTTATTTCACAATCTCTTATTTCACAGTATCTCCAAAAGTCCGTGTTTCATGTCAATTTTCATTTTTATCTTTGATTTTTTGCTTCTTTTTTTTTTTTTAATAATGTCTGACCTGTCCTCTAGACTCAAGAAATATTGAGACTCAAATTATTTCACATAGTATATCATTCCTTCCTTCTGTTGAGCTGTTGTACAATAAGTGGCAGTGGAATAAAAGTTATTTTCCCTTGTTTGGATTGGGACAGAGTTTGTTAACTTTGATGCATACGTTCTTGCCTATTACTCTGTGAAGTCTTACCTCGTGACTAAAATTAACTTTTTAATTGAATAAGTTCAGGAAAATGCCAGCCTCAAGATAAAATCTGTGATTTTCTATAAGAATAAATGTTATGAAAATAGACTGTTATCCAATGTTGTGTGGTGTTTCTGTGATGGTGTGAGAAGAACATTCATACAAGGCAGGACTAGCCCATAAGCCAGTGAACATCCATTAATGCGACTTTCTGTGTTGCTAGTCATAAAGTGTACTCTAAAAAAATCCCATCCAGCCAACATAAGTTCTTAATGTTTTACTGGGTGTAAGAATTATGTTTAGTGTGAGTGGGGATTGGGGTAGAGCTAACTCTCTTGTTAAGCGAGATACAGTGATGAAATATGTTAGTACGATAAAATATGATAGTATTATACCTATTTGTTGGTGATTGACCAGATCATGTAAAAACAAATCGTTTTCGTTTGTAGTCTTTCTTAATTGCTTGTGATATGTGATTTTATTGTTTCAACATGTTGGTTTGAAAAGACAATTGTGAGTTATATGATGAAGTTGGAAGTAGACATTTAACATATCTTACAAGGCTTTCCATGGCTACAGTTTCTATGTTTAGATTATAGGGTTCTGTGGTACTGTTAATGATTTCTCTTCTTTACACAAACTTCCACTCTGTTCTGCTCATTGTAGACCATGGAGTTGTTCTGGTCTTGGTCGCCAGTAGACCGTGGAGTTGTTCTGGTCTTGGTCGTCAGTAGACCGTGGAGTTCTGGTCTTGGTCGCCAGTAGACTGTGGAGTTGTTCTGGTCTTGGTCGCCAGTAGACAGCAGAGTTGTTCTGGTCTTGGTTGCCAGTAGACCATGGAGTTGTTCTGGTCTTGGTCGCCAGTAGACAGTGGAGTTGTTCCAGGCTTGGTCGCCATTAGACTGTGGAGTTGTTCCAGTCTTGGTTGCTTGTAGACAGTGGAGTTTTTCTAGTCTAGGTCACCAATAGACAGTGGAGATGTTCTGGTCTTGGTCACCAGTAGACAGTGGAGTTGTTCCAGTCTTTGCCACCAGTAGACAGTGGAGTTATTCCAGTCTTTGTCACCAGTAGACTGTGGAGTTGCTCTGGTCTTGGTCACCAGTAGACAGTGGAGTTATTCCAGTCTTGGTCACTAGTAGACAGTGGAGTTATTCCAGTCTTGGTCACCAGTAGACAGTGGAGTTTTTCTAGTCTTGGTCACCAATAGACAGTGGAGTTGTTCCAGTCTTTGTCACCAGTAGACAGTGGAGTTATTCCAGTCTTGGTCACCAGTAGACAGTGGAGTTATTCCAGTCTTGGTCACCAGTAGACAGTGGAGTTGTTCCAGTCTTGGTCACCAGTAGACAGTGGAGTTGTTCCAGTCATGGTCACCAGTAGACAGTGGAGTTATTCCATTCTTGGTCACCAGTAGACAGTGGAGTTGTTCCAGTCTTGGTCACCAGTAGACAGTGGAGTTGTTCCAGTCTTGGTCACCAGTAGACTGTGGAGTTGTTCCAGTCTTGGTCACCAGTAGACAGTTGAGTTGTTCCAGTCTTGGTCACCAGTAGACTGTGGAGTTGTTCCAGTCTTGGTCACCAGTAGACAGTGGAGTTATTCCAGTCTTGGTCACCAGTAGACTGTGGATTTATTCCAGTCTTAGTCACCAGTAGACAGTGGTGCTATTCCAGTCTTGGGCATGAGGAGACCTGTGTCTTGGTTGCAAGTAGACAGTGGAGTTGTTCTCGTCTTGTTCGCCATTAGACCAATGGAATATTTTGTGTAGGAAGAATTTTAATGTGTTCCTTCATGTTAGATATACTTTAGACTTGTTTTCCTGTTTGAGAATATCACTTGATTTAATTTGTCACAAATGTTTAAACATGTCTAAAGTTATAATGAATAATTATCAGCCGTAGAAGATGGTCGTTATGTATTTAACACATTAATTTTTGCTGTTAGAAAATTACAACATTAGCCAAACAACCTAACCTCTCCCAAGCATAACTGTCAAAAGTCATCTGTTCATACCAGATATTTCAGCTCATGATGAATATATCAGTTACATCTGAATATATATGACAATCTCCCTATGTCTGATATGTTCATCAAATGAAATATCTGATGTCATAACTATACATCTTATTTTGAGTGGCTAAGGAATGGTGTAGTAACATCAAACTCATACACAAAATAACCATGAAAGGCAGCCAATTGTGAAATTCTGTAATGCACAGCTTGGCCAGGTACAAGGTCTAATCGCCAGACTGAAATCATCAGTATTGACAGGTATGCTTTAGAGAAGAAGTTTGTTTTTTTATTGAAAGATATCAATAGAAAATATTTTGTGTTTATTTACATTGAAAAAAGTATATTTCTGTTGATATTCAACCTCTCATCCCTCTGAATGCTGGAATAGACTAGTCCAAATTCTGTTAACCAGAGGATTATGCCATTGCCGCCCACTAATCAGGGATAATGCCATTGCTACCCCTCTGATCCCTAGAATAAACCAGTCCATGATAAACCAGAGGGTTAAACCATTGTCACCTCTCTGGAATGGATCTTTTGAAATGTGGGAGGCAGGGTTGAACCTTTTATGTTAAATCATCCATACAGCCTCATTCCACTGTTGTAACTGTGCCAGATTTGAAGGATGGGATATTTCTAATAAATTAAAATTTCAGGAATCAAGTCTTCATTTGTTTGTGGCTTTAAAATAAACACGAATTTTCAGTTAACTTCAGTTTCACATTAGGAAACATGCATCATACTCCACCAATCAGATCTACCCCAGAATGCATTGCAGTACCCCACATTTGTCAGGAAGAGAGACAACTCTGATAGAGATGATTGAATTTAATCGCTCAAAAAGTCTGGTGCAAGTTAAATTGGTATTACATCCCGCAACAGAGATCAGGGCAGTGCCAACAAAATCGTGTGAAATACTGAGAACGAGTCACAGGTCAATAGAATAACTCGCAAAGAGATTATGCAGTTCACTTTAGAATCTAGACTATTTCTACTTAATTTCTCAAAGCTGTGCATTGTGCATCAACCAAATTGGGATCTATTGATTCCGAGCAGGCATTATATTTTAAACTCTGGTTAGGAGAAGAGTGCTTTCATTGTTTAGATCAAGAAATGGAATCCCCACGCTTGATAAGCAATATAGAAGTATTAACGCGGAGAATCTTGAATGGTCATGACACCATGATTTCAAGTTAAATATTTGAGTTCATGTCGGTATAAACACTTAAGCATAAGCAAGTGATAATTGATATTGGGTTTGATTCTGTCACATGTACATCACCAATGTTGGGCTTGATTCTGTCACATGTACATCACCAATGTTGGGCTTGATTCTGTCACTTGTAGAATACCAATGTTGGGCTTAATTCTGTCACATGTAGAATACCAATGTTGGGCTTAATTCTGTCACATGTAGAATACCAATGTTGGGTTTGATTCTGTCCAATTCTGTCATTCTGTCACTTGTAGAATACCAATGTTGGGCTTGATTCTGTCACGTGTAGAATACCAATGTTGGGCTTAATTCTGTCACATGTAGAATACCAATGTTGGGTTTGATTCTGTCCAATGTAGGTAACCAATGTTGGGTTTGATTCTGTCACATGTAGATCACCAATGTTGGGCTTGATTCTGTCACGTGTAGAATACCAATGTTGGGCTTAATTCTGTCACATACCAATGTTGGGTTTGATTCTGTCCAATGTAGGTAACCAATGTTGGGTTTGATTCTGTCACACGTAGATCACCAATGTTGGGCTTGGTTCTGTCCAATGTAGATCACCAGTTTCTGGCTTAATTCTGTCCAATGATAATGATATTACTCTTTACAATGATCCTCCACATGCTAATTCTAAAAATGTGTTAAACACAGAGTTCGTGAAAGTGAACATATTAGAATCTTTAAAACTGTAGGTGATAGAAAGGCAGACATTACGCTCTCTCATCTTCGAAACAATTGTAGCAACCTTAATTTTGATTATACCATGACCATTTTGTTGATAACCCAGTATGTCCCTGTACCTATGTATTTGAATCAGTTTCTCGTTATATTCAATCTGATTATTTCTATGAGAAACTATTCTGATAACCATAATTATATTGATATTTTGTTATATGATTGTCCTGACTGTAATAGAAACAGACAAATGCTTAGTGATATTTTCTTTTTCATTGGAAAATCTAAGCGCTTCAAATTTTACTTCTCAAAGTAAGCCATAATATAGACATGTTTATTCTTAATTGACTTGATAAAACATAAATTAATTTGACTTTGATAAATGAATCTGGTTGAACAAAATATATATAAGAAATTTATTTTCCCCTTTAATTGACTGCTAATAAACTCCTATTAAAATACTTACATTAAGTCGACATTGTATCTAATTGATATATTATAATCATCACACTTTAGTAATTGTGTGGTAGTGTAACATGCAACCCCATCAACTATTTGTTAAGAGGGTCAGAAACATGAGCAAGCCTCAGATTACCTTGCTGGGAATCTATTTGAATCAGCTTGACGAATTGAGGGACTACTGACGAAGCAAAATATATACAGATATGCATATGAATGGAACACGCTATGTACAGGTTAAGGGGACTAAACATCACCAATGAATGAACTCTGATCCTGTATACGCTTATTTAGCGTTATTAAAACAATTACTCCGGTTGCTCGGGATTTCCTATTCTTATGGTTTATAACTGCATGGATATTCAGTGCAAACCCAACCGAGTTACATGAAGGGACATCTTTAGTTTGAACTAAGACAAGCAAACTTGAGGTTTTTTAATGTAAAACCAATTTTCATGATGTAATACTTACCATAACTTTAGTATGCAAATACAGTACCTACACCCATCTTTGTATCCCAACAACAAAAGATTCAAAAGAAAAACAATCCCGCCCTCCCTACGATCCATGAGCCATCACGGCAGGAACGCAGAGTGATCTCCCTTCCTCTAATAACCTTTATGGCATAAACCCCACAAAGGGGCAGCCAGGCAGATAAGGAAGAGGGGAGGATAGGGTGGGACTCCATAAAGTTATGGTAAGTATTACATCATGAAAATTGGTTTTACATTAAAAAACCTCAATTTACATTAAAAAACCTCAATTTCATTTCAGTAATAATTACCATATCTTTAGTATGCGAATTCGTCTTACCGTAGTGGTGACTAGAAGCCAGGCAGCCCCTTCAGCACAACCAAAGTAGTAGGGAGGGAGAACAGAGTGCTAAAGTGAAGGAAGGGACCTCTCTGTGAAAGAGCAGGTGTACCCACATGCCGCCGTACGGAAAGACATGGCCCGGGGCTAACGAGGAGGCCCAGCCACTGACTATGCCACCACCAAAGGTCCCAATGAATACAGGCCTTCTGAGTGGGAAGCTAGGGATCACAGATAAAAATCTGTGAAGGTATCCCTGCCCTGCCAGAATACTGCAGACATGACCTCCTGAAAGGAGGACTCATTGAGGGAAGGGCCCAGGATGAAGCAAGGGCCCTGACCTCGTGAGACCGCGCTTTCGCTCTCGCCCGAGCCAGATCATCAAAATGCTCATAAGCATACTAAATCACCTGGCAAACCCACCTGGAAACCGACTGGGAGGAGATATCTCGTTGCCCCTGTTTAATGGGCAAAACAGACGGGATCGAGAGCCCCGCCCCCCCCCCCCCCCCCCCTGGTTTTATCAAGATAAAACCTAAGAGCCCGACAAAGACAAAGCAACCTATCTCGCTCCTCCGAGCTAGTCACAGCCAGGATCCTGATGGGATCGTGCGAGAACCCCGGAACCTGATTCTTCGCTAAAAACAACTCTATTCATAGCAAAGCCTCTGATTAGGGCAGAAAGAGAGGAGGACTAACCGATCTCCTTCCTGCCATAACAAGCAAGAACTCTGGCAATAGCTGTACGATAGCCAGCAATAGTGCCAGGTGGCAGATAGCGGTACCTAAACAGAGAGATTAGGAAGTCCGCAATCAAATGCAGAGGCTTCGAATGAATAAGCTTCCTTGCCGACACACCAATCACAGAAGATCATCCAACGTGACTGGTAGACGGCAGAAGAGGAAGCCCTGATTGATTGCTCAATGCAATCTGACACCTCTTGAGAAAAGCCTGCCTTGGCGTGGCTTCCAGAGATAGCCTCAACGCGTGAAGGTGGAGGATCTCTGGTCAAGAGTGTGTCGTTCTGGGCCAAGGCTGGCGAAAGAGATTCGGTCTGGTGGGGAGAGCCAAGGGCTCCTCCACCAGAAACGACAAGAGCTCCTGAAACCAAGCCTGCCTCGGCCACAGAGGGGCTCTCAGAAGTAAGGAGCAGTGATGCTCCCAGAACTTCTGTAGAACCCTGCCCACCAGGTTGAAGGGAGGGAATGCATATGCATACGTCCCTTCCTATTCCAGAGAAAGGGCGTACACAGCCCACGCCTTACGGTCTGGGACCGGGGAGACGAAGGTTAGCAGCTGGTTGTTCAGGGAAGTGGCAAACAGGTCTATAATAGGTCTGTCCCACGCCTGACAATTCCCCTTGAAAATGAAGGGACACAGCTGCCATTCCGTCAACACCGGCTGGTGGCGCCTGGAGAGTGGCCACCAACACACTCAGCCTGCCAGAAAGATGCTTGACCGCTATGGTCAACTGCATGTCCTGGCAGAGAAGAAGGATGTGGATGGAGAGGGCACACAGGACATGAGACCTGGTGGCCCCTGTCTCTCCAGATACGCGACAACTGTTGTCGGTAGCCACACTTTGGACTGCAGGATACCCCTAAAGGACTGCAGAGCCAAATGAACAGTCTCATCTCGAGTACACTGATGTGCTCCGAGAGCTGTTCGCCAGACCACTCCCCCGAGCGGCATTGGCCATCGAGGTAAGCTCACATTCCTGTCATGAATGCGTCCATGAACAGGATCATAGAGGGGAAAGGCTTGGTCAGAGGTACCCCGTGGAAAACGTTCTCCTGAATGGTCCACCAGCAAGAGGACTCCCTGACAGACTGGGTAAGCGGGATCCAGGCCTCCTGGATGACGGAACCCAGTCAGACAGGAGGAACATCTGGAGAGGTCCTATGTGAATCCTCCCTAGGGGGACCACATATGCCAAGGAGTTGAGATACCCCAGAAAACTGAGGAATCAATGTACCTGGACAAGCGACCAAGTGATGAAAGTCAGAGCCAGAGCCCTGACCTTCTCAAACTTCTCCAGAGGTGGAAGGGCTAAGCCCCGAACCATGTCAAAATGGTTCCCCAGGAAGAAGAAGTCCTAATATGAAGGAACCTCTGACTTCTCTCTGGAAGGAATGAAGCCGACACTGAGCAAGAGTTTCAGGACCAGACGAGTGTCCTTCACTAACGATTCCCACACCAAATGAGGCATGAGGGAGTCGTCGAAATAGATGTGGACGTCTATTCTGCGTGAGTGAAGGAAACACCAGCAGCAACTTGGTGAACACCAAAGGAGCTGTCGTGAGCCCCAAGGGCATCTCTGCCTTGGCAGCATGGTCCCTACTTCCTCCTGGAGCACCCGTGCCCTTTCTGAATCCCCGGGAGGAGGAAAGAAACAAAAACGGCCAGGAGGTGAGGGACGAATCCTGAAGAAGGGGAATACCTAGACCCTCCCTGACCACCGACAAAAGCCCAAGCGTCATCTGTAATAT